AATGCGTGCCCGTCATCGAACCGCCATACAATTTTAAGTTTTGTCGAAAGGATAACTGGAGTGAATGGAAGAACGATTCCTGTAAAAGCAATTGTATGAAGAAATCCAAAGGCATAGTAGTCAAGCGACGTTATTGCAGTCATCGAACTCACAGAACGGCGAATTGCAGAGGACCATATTATGACGTGGATCTGTGTGACGACTCGATACTTTGCATTAAGAAGCGCCGTACAGTCGATGAGTTTGCTACCACGAGATGCACCGCATTGACGAAATTATCAAAGGACAGACGTTTGATGGATATAGGTTTGAAGTTCGATCTGCTAACACAGCGTCCGGGACGTCAGTCCCCTCATGATGTCAAGAAACCGTGGATAGCTTGTACTGTACACTGTCAACAAAATCAATCATCTGATCACTACCCACTGCGTCAAGAAATGCTTCGCTATGGTGTTGATCCATACTTTCCCGATGGAACGTGGTGTCATAATGAAAATAAAACCGATTATTTTTGCCGCCAACACTATTGTGTGCCAGAAAATTACTCATTCGAAAAATCCGAATACTAAAAGAATAATTGTCAATATCTGTAAATGAAGATTCGAAGAAAAAGAATTTGCGAAACATATGTCAATTTAGATCCGTTGGTCAATTTCTTTAGCATTTGATTTGGAGTGGGATGAATCCTTGTTATTAACTTCTGTTTCGCGAATTAATCATTTTATGTTCGACATAGACAAATTTATGATAAATTACTTAAATTTTCTATTATTTTAAACCAGTTTTATCGATTACTATTAGTAAGAGTAAAAAAAAAGTAATACTAATAGACTAGATATATTTATGAGAAGAGAGCATAATGAGTTAAAGAAAGTGGAGTCTCTATTATTCCGTTTGGAGAGAATGAGAAGAAAAACGATAACGAGAACGAGAATAATAATTATCTATGTATTTTAATATCGTTTCATGTTATATTAATATTGTAAAAAAGTATGAATAATCGAGAACATTAAAAAAGTTCATAATTACATAACTATCGAGTGGAAATAATTAAATTATTCTTTGAATCGAGAAGCGCGTTACATGACATGATTGGATTTTCCACATGACGTTAGAAACATTCGACTCTCAATATCTTCTATTAATTGTTCAAATATTTTATATAAAAAGTTTTTTTTACTAAACCAAAAAAATATTTAAAAAATTTGACTCAAAATGTATGTCTCAATATGAGTAATTGCATTTCATTGGCATTTCTTTTTTGTTTGATTTTGAACGTCTGTGAATACTAATGTAATTACATTGGAAATTAAATTTTAAGTAATAATATATATGCAGTTAATAACGAATATTCATACCGACCTTAATAAACTCTTTAAAATCTAATTGTCAATGAAGTCACATATTTTCAAATAATGTTACAAATTTGACATGTTAATGATAAATTGTGTTTTCTACATCGCTATCAAGAGTACCACATATTTAATTTAGATTTCGGAGAGAAAAACAAGTATAAGCGAAGCAAAGAGAATGTATACAACACGACTCATATGATATTTCTAATTGTAGACGTCAGTACATGCCTTATACGCGATCTAAGGAACATGAGAGTTTCATAACGTCTGTACATAAGAGTTTGTAATAAATAAAAGAATTTTAATTAAATATTTTTAAGTATATACAAGTGAATTACGCAAAGTAAACATGTTTCTTATATTAAAATTAGTATTAATAATTTTAATAAATAAAATAGACGGATATATCACGCAAGATGTAGAAATAACATTAATGCCGACGTGGAACTTGACGGGAGCAGATGAGGAGGTACGTGCGTTTTATTGTAGTATTTTATTTGTTGTGCCCAACGTTTAAAGCATTATTCCAAAAAAGAAAAATCTTTTGTTAAAC